CCCCTTATGTCACTGCGTACAGAACACAAGGGAAACACTTTACAGAACAATGGCTAACCAGTAATCCATCCAGATTTCCTGATTCCTGATTTTTTGATTTTGCAATCCCAGTTTCTATCCGTGATATGTCTTCCCCTCACCCGGTTCTCCCTTTCCCCGTGCGCGCAATGGTCTCGTCTTCCGTTCTGAAGCTTCTTCAAGTCAATCGTCTGGAGTGAGTTCGTCTATCTCCCCCTCTCCCATTCCCCACCCTTCCTGGCACGACCGCCCATCGTACCTTCCGTTCTGGAGCTTCTTGAAGTCGATCGCCTGGAAGAGGGTCGGCTGGCTCTCCACGGCTGTTGCTGCCACAACACGATGAAAGCATCACACGCAAGCAAACCATGCCGCAGATTCAGAAGCAGACGAGGAAAACGAGGGAGACCAGAAGGGAAGGAGCAAGAAGACTGAGGGACGAAGCAGCCGGGAGACGGATAAGGATTCCGGGAGACGACCCGTCCGGGCCGTCCGGGACTGACCAAACGAGATCTGGGACGGATTGGGGGATGATGCCTCCACCAGAACCACCCGCCGCCGGCTGCGATTGGTGCAGCTTGACAGCTGGCGAGGTTTGTGACTGTAACGAGAGGGAAGAGCTTGTACGGAATTTCCAGATAACGCGGGCTTCAAGCTCGGGAAAACCCTCACGGCTTGTTTGCTGCAGCACAGGGTGGAACCCAGCATCGCTGCAGGACAAAGGCAAAACCATAAGGGGTTTTGAGGCGCCTGAGAACAGAGGGGAACCGAACGCAGGTGCAGCACCCAACCAGAGCAGCAGCAAAGGGTGGAACCCAACATCGCTGCAGGATAAGGAGAGGAGAATAAGGACGGACGCGGGAGCACGCGGCTGATTAGGACTCAACAGTTTATCATTCCTCGCCAGCAGAACCTCGTCTCGTGTAACTATAATCAGTACTCTGTTCCGTTTCTCCCAAGAAACAGGAAGAGGAAACTCACCGGCCATTTCAGCAGTATCTGTCAGACGTGGCACGAGAAAATTGCCAGGAATGGACAAGCGAGCACTATGTTCGTCCGAACAATCTCAAGCACGACGAGAGAGCAGAGGAACGCAACAGCTGCCCCAGCTTTAGAATCTGCCGGCCAAGTTGCACCCAGAATCTGCCGTCGCTCGAAAAAGCTCCAGCAGCAAAATTAGCAGCAGCAGAACGGAGTTCCCTAGAAACTCGAAGAGGCAAGTGGAAATGGGGTTCCCTGAAGATTCTAAGAGGCAGGAGATCCCTAGGCTGTCTCCAGTGCGGAGGGAAATTTCTGACGAAAGGTGTGCTGTGAATTTCTCTGGAATCTGGAATCTGGATGGTGTGGGCAAGTTGAAATATCTGGACAGCCGCTTTTTCCCCGCGCAGAAAGGCGGGACCACCAACCATAGCACAGAATATCTCCAATTCCTTGTCAGGCTCGCTGCCGCATCAAAAGCCTAGATGGCGTAGGTGGCACGTGGTTATTCGTTAAAAGAACGTCCTTGGGCACCCGGCTCCAAGATTCATGGGTAAGCTACGTGGAAACCAAACGAAAAGGATAACAATTGACGTTTTGGATGAGTGAGCGGACGACGGGCGGCGTAGTGAGGGACGTCCGCGAACAGCGTTCGCGAAGTCACTTTTCGCTGACGACGAGTGCGACGACGTTTACGAGGCAATTCGAAATCGTTTTGGCGGCCCGTGGCTACACGAAGGGTTGCCATAACACTGTACACTTAGCCCGCGTTATTTTCAAACCCAGTATTTTCACAGGGGGTGCCGCTGAGAGGGTATTCACCTCCCGAAAGCCGCTCCTGAAGACCAGATCCCGATACCCTTGAAAACAACCCTAAACTTGGGTTTCTGCACAAAAAACTTTACTGCTCGATTTAGTGTTTCTCGAGTCAGGAAACCCGACGTCAGCTTAGGCAGTGCTAAACGTTTTTTCCCGCGTGGAGTCTGCCAAGCTTAGGCCGTAGGAACAAGGGGGTACTTGTCTACGCACTCAGAAATGGTCAGGGTGTAAAATTAACGCGGGCTAAGTGTACACGCAGTCGTTTCTGAAATGGAGAGAGTTGGTGAGATGATGTGAACATTCCAATGCCACACGTTGTACAAAGGGTTATTGGTGCACACATAAGCAACTTGCAGAATTGTGCTTGTTGAATTGGTTATTATACATCTCAACAATGAGACAACGTTTGAAAACAAAAGCAAGCATACTAAGTACAAATACATGAAAATGGGAGCAACCCACTGTAGCCAGATAGCTACAAACGCACACATACACTATTACAAAACACAAAACCCAGTTTTAGGGTGCCTTGCAGAGCACCGTCCCTTTGTACAATCGACTATTTGTGCAAACATACCCACTGTTATATTGTGCTAGCAGGCGTGCTGAAGACTTGAAATAGAGTGCAAGGATGCGCGCACATGTATCGCCAGTGACAACTGTATACGTCTGCTTTGTAACACATCTTGAAGCACCAAGTAAAACACTCGATTGGCCACCACGCGTACAAATCTGGAGGGTGAAAAATGAGGAATAAATATGTAAAAACATAAACGCCATGTATGCAGCTGGTGCGGTGGGAAAGAAAGAACAAGGAGAGTGCAAGCATTCAGCACTCCCTAAACCACTGGAGTAACACAAGCATGTAAGGTTCAAGTTGAATGACTCCCACATCTGCACACCTACCTAATGATTACTGTTCACATACCTACATAATGATGACAACTGTTCACATACCTGCTGGCCCAGCAGCGTCTGCTCGCCCACGTTGCAGTTGATGCCTGGATTCAAAGCATAGAACTCCTGGCTGGTCAGAGGCGGCCGCGCGGACCTCATTATAGTGTCGCACGTGTCACCTTCCGCTACAGTCACATACTCCTGGCACATCGGCAAGTCTGCTGTCCCCCTCTCGATGCACACCTGTTAGTGTCTCAGGGATGGGGATGGGAAAGGGGCCAGACAAAGCAGTTCTGGAGAAGGAAAGAGGTCGTGAATTCTCTGACCTATCTGCTGCTCCAGACCTTGAGCTAACGCCACACCTGCTACTGCACCCAACCTTTACCTGCTGTCACAGCTAGCCCTTACCTGCTGCCACACCTAGCCCTTACCTGCTGCCACACCTAGCCCTTACCTGCTGCCACACCTAGCCCTTACCTGCTGCCACACCCAACCCTTACCTGCTGCCACACCCAGCCCTTACCTGCTGCCACACCCAGCCCTTACCTGCTGCCACTCCTAGCCCTTACCTGCTGGCCGATCTGCAGCGGCTTGTTGCATTTGAGCTCGTGGTTCTCCGCCTTGAGCTGCTCCACTGTGATGTTGAACTCTGCTGCCACCGCCGCACACGTCTCGCTCTGCCACGGGAGAGTGTAGGGAGAAAAGGAAGAATACGGGCTTGCTTTTGAGTCGACTCAAAAGCAAAGTCCGCTGCCACCGCCGCACACGTCTCGCTCTGCCACAGGGGAGATTAGGGAGACAGGGAGAATTAGGGCCATGTGAATTGGGAGAGAGAGCGAACGGGAGAGTTGATAAGGATAAAATGAAAGCGGATGACGGAAGCGACTCCCTGATGTGACTGCAAAGGTGAGGATGGATGGAATGACTCGTTATGGAATGACTCGCTATGAATTGAGTCATCGATTTGAATGAGTAGAGGATATCCTATGAGAAATGCTACAGGAAATTTGAAAAAGGCCAGTCGCGTGGCGGGACGGGAAGGAGGGGAAGGGGAGGGAAGGGGTGAAGGGGGGGTTGGGATGGGGTTGAGGGGGTGGGTGGTGAAGGGGGTTGGAGACTTCAAGAGAGAGGAGCTCACATATGTGATGGTATAGGGGGTGGCGCAGGGGTTGGTATCGCCGATGTGGATATCGTCGCCTAGCCTTAGCCTGGCGCAGTTGAGATCCTGATTTGGGGGCCCGGCGAAAAGGGGGTGGGGGGGAAGGGGGGAGAGGATGGGGAAGGGGGGTTGGTTGGGAGCATTGAGGGTGGCGCAGGGGTTGGTGTCCCCCATGTGGATCTCGTCGCCTAGCCTCAGCCTGGCGCAGCTGAGCTCCTGAGGGGGAAGCGGGGAGGGGGGGGATGGGGGGGGAAGAGTGGTTGTTTGGGGGGACCATGAGGGGTGGCGGTTTTGAGTCGACTCAAAAGCCGAGGGGGGGGAATGGGGGAGGAGGGTTGGTTGGGGGACCATGAGGGGTGGCGCAGGGGTTGGTGCCACCGGATGTGGCTGCCATCGCCAAGCCTCAGCCTGGCGCAGCTGAGCTTTTGATTTGGGGGGAGGGAAGGGGGTGGGTGTGTTGGGGGGTGGGGGGGGGGGGGGGGATGGGGGAATAGGGGTTGGTTGGTTGGGGGACCATGAGGGGTAGTGCAGGGATTGGTGCCACCGATGTGGGTCTCATTGCCAGGCTACAGCCGGGCGGTTGCGATCCTGATTGGCAGCAGGGGAGGGGTCTATTTTTGAGGCGCCTCAAATGCAGCCAGGTGCCTAAAAAATCATCTATTTTTGAGGCGCCTCGAATGCAGCCGGGCGCGGTTGCGATCCTGATTGGCGGCGGGGGAGGGGGAAAGTGAAAAGGATGGAGAAAGGGGGGTTGGCAGCTGGTGCTGGTGCTGGTGCTGGTGCTGGTGCTGGTGTTGGTGCCACCGATGTGGATCTCGTCGCCAGGCCTCAGCCTGGCGCAGTTGAGATCCTGATTTGGGGGGGGGGGGGGGGGAGGGAAGGGGAAGTCGAGAAAAAGCCAGCACTGGCAAGCAGCACCAGCAGCCAATACTCACTGGGTTGAGTTAGGTTACACTGGCCTAGCTGATGCCATAGGTTGACATCACAAGGTCGAATGCGAGCTTCGAAAGGAGTCTATTCTTTAGGTGCCTCAAAATGCGAGCCTCGAAAGCACAGCCTACTGCCAACTTCTGCCCTATCTTATGGCAATCAGACGCCTGTCATATGGTATGCAAAAAGCTTGGGATTGAGATGCACTCACATGGTTGAGATGCACTCACATGGTTGCGATGCACTCACATGGTTGAGATGCACTCACATGGTTGAGATGCACTCACATGGTTAAGATGCACTCGCATGGTTAAGACGCACTCACATGATTGAGTAGGGTGAAATTTGCCAAGCTGATCCCGTAGGTCGACATCACAAGGTTGCATGTGAGCCCGGAAACACTCTTATCTCGTCTGGTGTGGGGCCTGCAAGTGGGTGGAACAGGGAGGGACGGGAGGAACGGAGGGGAGGGGTGGGTGAGGGAGGGAAATGAGGGGTGAATGAATGCTCCCTAGATGGCCATCACGAGGTTGCATGCGAGTCCTGCAACCTCCGTTTATCTTATCGAGTGTGGGGCCTGCACGTGGGTGGAACAGGGACGAGCAGGGCGGAGCAGGGAGGCGCAGGGAGGAACGGAGGGGGTTGATGATATGGCAGGGAGTGGGAGGTGGCTGATCCCATAGGTCGCCATCACGAGGTTGAATGTGAGCCCTGCAACTACATTTATCTTATCGGGTGTGGTGGGCCTGCACGTCGGCAGAACAGGGACGAGCAGGGAGGAACGGAGGGGTAGATGATAGCAGGTGGTAGGCAGAACCCCCATAATCCGCACAATAACTTGGTGAAAAAGAGATGCAGAGCCCTGGTGGGCAGATGCAGCTGCAGCCACCAGCGAGCGATACCAGGTGGCAGCACCACCACAATAGCACAGTAGGGCCATACCAGGGTTGCCAGGCGAAGGAAACTCACCTAGCACACTGGGGGGGTGCACACCTAGCACACTTGAGGGAGGCGCACACCTAGCACGCTGGAGGGAGGTGCACACCTAGAATACTAGAGAGGGTATCAAGTGAAGGGTACATACTGAGGATGCATGAGGGGGAGTTGTCGGGGCGAGTGCCGAAAAAGAAGCCCGGCGGGCAGGCAACAAGGGGCAGCAGGTGAACGTACACTAGGACTGTACCCGGGTTGACTGGTAAAGAGCACATACCTAGGATACAGGAGGGGGTGTTGTCCGGCGCTTATCAAAGAAGAACCCCGGCGGGCAGATATGACAGGCTGTACGGGGGTTACAGGGTGAAGGGTACACACCTAGAACACTGGGGAGGGGCACATACCGAGGATGCAGGAGGGGGTGTTGTCCGGCGCGCTTGTCGAAGAACCCCGGTGGACAGATGCAGTTGTAGCTGCCCTTGCTGTCGTCCAGGCAGGTGCCCACCTGACAGGGGTTCACCGCGTTTAGAGAGCATGGCTTCACTGTTTCGACAGAGGGGAGAAATGGGGGGAGGAGGGGAGGTCGTGAGACAGCAAGAAAGGGAAGGATGAAAGGAGGGAGGACGGGCGGGTGGTTAGTGCAGACGCAGGGGTTCGCTTTTTGAGGCGCCTCAAAAATTGTCACCACCCCACCTGACATGAACCCGCAGGGGCGCAGGGCTTACTGCAGGTTTAGAGGCTCAGAATCTAGTTTTGAGGTGCCTCTAAACTATGCAGGGGTTCGCGTCACCACCTGACGGGGCTTACGGCAGGTTCTGCTCACAACAGGTGGGAGGAGAAGCGGGCTGGGAGAAAGGGGAGGGGAGCATGGCTTCACAGCTCAGACATGCACTTACAGAGTACGCACTTACAGTACGCACTTACAGTACGCACTTACAGTACGCACTTACAGTACGCACTTACAGTATGCATTTACAGTGCGCACTTACAGTATGCACTTACAGTATGCACTTACAGTATGCACTTTCAGTATGCACTTACAGTATGCAATTACAGTATGCACTTACAGTATGCACTTACAGTATGCACTTACAGTATGCACTTACAGTGCGCACTTACAGTACGCACTTACAGTATGCACTTACAGTATGCACTTACAGTATGCACTTTCAGTATGCACTTACAGTATGCACTTACAGTATGCACTTACAGTATGCACTTACAGTATGCAATTACAGTATGCACTTACAGTATGCACTTACAGTATGCACTTACAGTATGCACTTTCAGTATGCACTTTCAGTATGCACTTACAGTATGCACTTCCAGTATGCACTTACAGTATGCACTTACAGTATGCACTTACAGTATGCACTTACAGTATGCACTTTCAGTATGCACTTACAGTATGCACTTACAGTATGCACTTACAGTACGCACTTACAGTATGCATTTACAGTGCGCACTTACAGTATGCACTTACAGTATGCACTTACAGTATGCACTTACAGTATGCACTCATACATACTTGGAGTGCACAGATGCAACTAGTCAATGCTTCCCTGTTTTCATTACAACCGAGTACGTCTGCACGTCTGCACGCCTGCACGTCTGCACGCCTGCACGTCTGCACGCCTGCACGTCTGCACGCCTGCACGCCTGCACGCCTGCACGCCTGCACGCCTGCACGCCTGCACGCCTGCACGCCTGCACGCCTGCACGTCTGCACGCCTGCACGCCTGCACGCCTGCACGCCTGCACGTCTGCACGCCTGCACGTCTGCACGCCTGCACGCCTGCACGTCTGCACGCCTGCACGTCTGCACGCCTGCACGTCTGCACGCCTGCACGTCTGCACGCCTGCACGTCTGCACGCCTGCACGCCTGCACGCCTGCACGCCTGCACGCCTGCACGCCTGCACGTCTGCACGCCTGCACGTCTGCACGCCTGCACGCCTGCACGCCTGCACGCCTGCACGCCTGCACGTCCCTGGCCCCCCTGGCGCAATGCACGTCCCTCCCCTATCCAGCCGACACCATGACCCTACACATGCCCCCATATGTACATAGAATGCACACAGGAGACTGGTCCACGTTCTTCCCCACTACAAAGTACGCCTTGCACTTGCACGTGTAGCCCCCTGACACCCCTTGGCGCTATGCACGTTCCTCCCCCTCTCTCTCCCCCCCCCCTCCCCCACCACACGCCAAGCCCCCATACATACATACATGGGATGCACACAGGAGACTGGTCCACGTTCTTCCCCACTACAAAGTACGTCTTGCACTTGCATGTATAGCCCCCCGGCCCCGGCCAGGGCTGCACGTGCCCCCCCACACGGGTTCGGCACACACGGGTTGGGCCCGCGGACAACAGGGTAGAGCGCAGGCGAGGTATTGACACCACAGATGCCATCTCCTGTGAGGGGGGGATAAGGGAAAGTGGGAATATGCTCCATATGCTGAATATGGGTTCGGCCCACACGGGTTGGGCCCGCGGACAACAGGGTAGAGCGCAGGCGAGGAGTTGATGTCGCAGATGCCATCTCCTGAAGGAGTGGGGGGGGAGCGGGGGGGAGGATAAGGAAAAGTGTTAGGTCGTCGTGTGTTCGTTGCGGATTCGGCACACCCAGGTTGGGGTCGCAGGCGACAGGGAAAAGGGCCGGCAAAGATGCCATCTCCTGCACAGGAAGGGAGGTACAGGCGGGGGGAGCGGTTGAGTGCGAGGCACTTGAGAGGAAAGCGGTTGAGTTCAAGGCCCAGGCAACAGCATTCCACGTGCTGCCAGAGTTTTTTTTTTTTTTTTGGTTGTCACCAACAGCATGAATAGTGAGGTAGAGGAGGCACCTGATTGGATGGCCATCTGCATGAAGCCGTTTTGTCCCCAGGTGGATCCCCAGGAGTTTTGCAGGATGAAGTACGGCGTGGCTCCCACCATGCTGTACCCCACCAGCAGCACGATGTGGTTCACCACCCCATTGATGAAGCAGTCGGGATCCGCATAGATGTACCCCTGGAGAGGGGAAGACAGGAGTAGTGGCAGGTTCAGTAGCGCGTGGCTCCCACCATGCTGTACCCCAAAAACAGCCCTTGTTAGATTATATCGTATATCTATAGCATGTAGTGTGTTAATATTGTATTGTAGATGAAGGTTGAGGTTGGTTAGGTCAACCAACCCTTGACCCCCATTCTCGAGAGCTCCAGCAGTGTTGGCCAACCCAATATTGCTGGCCCTCCAATGATTCGTGGTCGACCTTCCCAACCATTATTGGTCCACCCAATAATGGTGGGGACGGACAACCCCTCCTTGACCTAGGATTGACCTAGGTACAAAGTCTTGTATCATCCCCCTCTCAATCTATCAATTACGTTTCTCTCAGCACTATGTGGTTCACGGTTCACCACCGCGTTGATAACGCAGTTGGGGTCAGCATGTCAGCATGCATGTGGCCCTGGAATGTGAGGAACAGTCTGCTTTTGAGTCGACTCAAAAGTGGAAAGTGGGGAACAGTTTTGAGGCGCCTCAAAGCAGTTTGTCAGCGTGTCAGCGTGTCAGCGTGGATGTGGCCCTGGAATGTGGGGAACGGGGGAATGTGGTGTCGGGAGGGAGTGGGGGAAGCGGAGTGGGGAATGGGGAGCATAGGCATGTTCCCATTCCCCGTATACGATTTTTGAGGCGCCTCAAAAATCTTCCCATTCCCCGTATACTCTCCCCCGCCATCTTTGTACCTTCCTTCCAACAACCCCCCTGCATCACACCCCTCCCAACACCGCCCTGCATCACACCCCTCCCAACACCGCCCTGCATCACACCCCTCCCAACACCGCCCAGCATCACACCCCTCCCAACACCGCCCTGCATCACACCCCTCCCAACACCGCCCTGCATCACACCCCTCCCAACACCGCCCTGCATCACACCCCTCCCAACACCGCCCAGCATCACACCCCTCCCAACACCGCCCTGCATCACACCCCTCCCAACACCGCCCCAGCATCACACCCCTCCCAACACCGCCCTGCATCACACCCCTCCCAACACCGCCCTGCATCACACCCCTCCCAACACCGCCCTGCATCACACCCCTCCCAACACCGCCCCAGCATCACACCCCTCCCAACACCGCCCTGCATCACACCCCTCCCAACACCGCCCTGCATCACACCCCTCCCAACCACCGCCCTGCATCACACCCCTCCCAACACCGCCCTGCATCACACCCCTCCCAACACCGCCCAGCATCACACCCCTCCCAACACCGCCCTGCATCACACCCCTCCCACACCGCCCAGCATCACACCCCTCCCAACACCGCCCAGCATCACACCCCTCCCAACACCGCCCTGCATCACACCCCTCCCAACACCGCCCTGCATCACACCCCTCCCAACACCGCCCAGCATCACACCCCTCCCAACACCGCCCTGCATCACACCCCTCCCAACACCGCCCAGCATCACACCCCTCCCAACACCGCCTGCATCACACCCCTCCCAACACCGCCCTGCATCACACCCCTCCCAACACCGCCCTGCATCACACCCCTCCCAACACCGCCCAGCATCACACCCCTCCAACACCGCCCTGCATCACACCCCTTCCAACAAACCCCTGTACTGTATACTCCCCCCTCCCTCTCCAACTCACCCCAGCATATTCCATGAAGGACGTCTGATCCGCCTCCACGTTAGCGATGATTTGCTGTGAGTAATGAGTCGATTGGCTGTGCCTGCATTCTCTCAACCCAATCCTATCCACATCTACAAACCCCGATCCTCATCCCCCCCCCCCTCCCTTCTCCTTCCCCCCTCCCTTCTCCTTCCCCCCCCTCTTCTCACTCACCCCAGCATATTCCATGAGGACGTCTGATCCGCCTGCCTCCACATGGGCTTTCATTGGCTGCGCCTGCTTTCTCCAGCCCATTCCTATCAACATCAACCCCCACCCCCCCCCCCTTCCCACTCCCCCACCCTCCTCACACTCACCCCAGCGTAATCCATGAAGGACGGCTGATCCGCCTCCACGTTGGCGATGATTGGCTGAGCCTGCATTCTCTCAACCCAATCCTATCCACATCTACCACCCCCACCCCCCCCCCCCCCCCTCCACTCCCCCCCCCCCTCGCACTCACCCCAGCGTAATCCATGAAGGACGTCTGATCTGCCTCCACGTTTGGCGATGATTGGCTGCGCCTGCAGCGCCAGCACCATGCCCAGCCAACCAGACACCGACACCTGCTCAAACATGGCGATTGTGTACGGGCCCGGGAGCGGCTCAGCGGCAGGTGCAGGGGGGGGCTTCTTCTTGGTCTTCTTCTTTAGGGGTTTGATTTTGCCCATGGAGGACGGTCGAGAGGAGGAGGAGAATGAGCGGAAGGAGGAGGCAGAGGAGGGAAGTAAGGAGGAGGAGAAGGAGGAGGAGGAGGAGGAGGAAGACAATGATGATGATTGGAGGATGCGGGCGCGAGGGATTTGGAAGAGGGAGGAGAGCAGGTTGGAGAAGACGGATGGAGGAGGAGGAGGGAGAGGAGGAGGGGAGTGCAGCGGCGATTCAGGGGGATGGCCTTTGAAGCTCAGTTCCGAGAGACGGCTGGGAGCAGTGTACGGAGGAGGGGGGGGATGAGGAGGAGTAAAGGAATCGGCAGGAGAGGCAGGAGGAGCAAGGAGGGCAGGAGGAGACGGGGCGAAGTTGGAGGCGTGGCGTCTAGCAGAAGAGGCGAGGCCTCCTGATGGTGACTGTTGTTGCAGCGAGGAGCCTTGTGTGGAGGCACGGTGATCTTCTAGTGCCCGGTCGAACCAGAGGTCCGGTGGGAAGGACGCTGCAAGGCGCCGCCTTGCAGCAGGCTGGGGGGAGAGAGAGTGGAAACAAGAGCACAGACCAAGAGTGGAGTGGCAAAACAGATGCATGGTGATCCCCTAGCGCCCGGTCGAACCAGAGGTCTGGTGGGAAGGACGCTGAGAGGCGGCGCCTTGCAGCAGGCTGGGAGAAGAAAAATAAAGTGAGAAAGAGAAAGAGAAAGAGAAAGAGAAAGAGGACCATTCGAGAAAGAGTTTAGAAGCACGCGCAGAAACAAAGGGGGGAGGGAAACGAAAAGAGGCATGGGTATTCCCCATCGTTTGATGGGATCTTTGAGACTTCTCAAGAACCATATATCGGGCGGGAAGAATTCTGAAAGATTCAGATCCACACACGCACGCCAGTGTATGGCACCATGTAATCCAAGAGCACTCCTCCCGTGGCTGGAAACTGGAGGCCCTGAGCCCAACCCCAACCTTGACCCCCAATCTCCACTCACCCCGCAGTTGGTAGCATCGCGCTCGCCAGTGTGTGGCACCATGTATTCCGAGAGCACTCCCCAAGTGAGTTGAGACGATTTTTGAGGCGCCTCAAAAAGTGTGTGGCACCATGTATTCCGAGAGCACTCCCCAAGTGGCAAATAAGAAAGCGCCTGAGGTTATGCCGCCCACGCAATCCCAGGTGCGCTAAGAACGCCTTCCCACTAAGGGAGCAAACACTGACCATTGACGTGTTTTGTTTTTGAGAATTCTCAAAAATAAGAACGCCTTCCCACTGAGGGAGCAAACACTGACGACCACTGACCGCCCTTTACTCACTCACCCCACAGTTCGTAACGTCACGCACGCAAGTATAGGGCACCATGTAATCCGAGAATTCTCAAAAACCTAACTCGCCCTTCACCCACTCACCCCACAGTTGGTAGTGTCGCGCACGCAAGTATAGGGCACCATGTAATCCGAGAGCACTGCTTTTGAGGCGCCTCAAAAGCAGTCGCGCACGCAAGTATAGGGCACCATTCAATCCGAGAGCACTCCCCCGGTGGCTGCAAACTGGAAGGCGTCTGAGTGGTTGCTGCCCACGCACTCCCGCGTGCCCTGGCAGTTGAGTATGTGTGCTGGCCCCAATGATCCAGCAATGATCCCTCCTTCCCCAATGACTGAACCCCCGTCTTCGGACTCACCCCACAGTTAGTAGCATCCTTAACACCGGTGTAGGGCACCATGTAATCCGAGAGCACTCCCCCGGAGGCAGCAAACTGGAAGGCGTCTGACGGGATGCCGCCCACGCACTCCCACGTGCCCTGGCAGTTGAGTATGTGCTGCCCCGATATGTTGGGCTGGTTCGACCCGTACGCTATCGCATAGGCTGACTCGATCGCTGCCACCGGCAACAGCGCCCAGCAGGCCGCTGAAAAGGGGGGAAGCGGGAGGGGAGGGGAAGGAAGGGGAGGGAGGGAGAGAGGGAGGGAGAAGGGACCACTTGGGAGGGAAAAGGGAGTGAGAGAGAGGGAGAGAAGGGGGATGAATGGGAGAGAAGGGGGATGGGAGAGACAGACACCTCCCCCCACCCACGCACTCCCAGATGCTCTGGCAGTTGAGTAGGTGCAGCCCTGAGATTTCGGGCTGCTTCGACCGGAGGGAGATTTCGGGCTGCTTCGACCGGAGATTTTGGGCTGCTTCGACCGGAGATTTAGGGCTGCTTCGACGGGTTTGCTCTTCGACCGGAGATTTTGGGCTGCTTCGACCGGAGATTTTGGGCTGCTTCGACCGGAGATTTTGGGCTGGCTTCCACCAGAGATTTTGGGCTGCTTCGACCAGAGATTTTGGGCTGGTTCGACCGGAGATTTTGGGCTGCTTCGACCGGGAGATTTTGGGCTGCTTCGACCGAGATTTTGGGGCTGCTTCGACCGGAGATTTTGGGCTGCTTCGACCGGAGATTTTGGGCTGCTTCGACCGGAGATTTTGGGCTGCTTCGACCGGAGATTTTGGGCTGCTTCGACCGGAGATTTTGGGCTGCTCGACCGGAGATTTTGGGGCTGCTTCGACCGGAGATTGGGCGCTTCGACCGGAGATTTTGGGCTGCTTCGACCGGAGATTTTGGGCTGCTTCGACCGGAGATTTTGGGCTGCTTCGACCGGAGATTTTGGGCTGCTTCGACGGAGATTTGGGCTGCTTCGACCGGAGATTTTGGGCTGCTTCGACCGGAGATTTAGGGCTGCTTCGACCGGAGATTTTGGGCTGCTTCGACCGGAGATTTAGGGCTGCTTCGACCGGAGATTTTGGGCTGCTTCGACCGGAGATTTTGGGCTGCTTCGGACCGGAGATTTTGGGCTGCTTCGACCGGAGATTTGGCTGCTTCGACCGGAGATTTTGGGCTGCTTCGACCGGAGATTTTGGGCTGCTTCGACCGGAGATTTTGGGCTGCTTCGACCGGAGATTTTGGGCTGCTTCGACCGGAGATTTTGGGCTGCTTCGACCGGAGATTTTGGGCTGCTTCGACCGGAGATTTTGGCTGCTGGGGGGGCTTCGACCGAGATTTTGGGCTGCTTCGACCGGAGAGGGCTGCTTCGACCGGAGATTTTGGGCTGCTTCGACCGGAGATTTTGGGCTGCTTCGACCGGAGATTTTGGGCTGCTTCCGACCAGGAGATTTTGGGTGCTGCTCGAGGAGATTTTGGGCTGCTTCGACCGAGATTTTGGGCTGCTTCGACCGGAGATTTTGGGCTGCGGGGAGATTTTGGGCTGCTTCGACCGGAGATTTTGGGCTGCTTCGACCGGAGATTTTGGGCTGCTTCGACCGGAGATTTTGGGCTGCTTCGACGGAGATTTTGGGCTGCTTCGACCGGAGATTTTGGGCTGCTTCGAGGGCCCGGAGATTTTGGGCTGCTTCGACCGAGATTTTGGGCTGCTTCGACGGAGATTTTGGGCTGCTTCGACCGGAGATTTGGGCTGCTTCGACCGGAGATTTTGGGCTGCTTCGACCGGAGATTTTGGGCTGCTTCGACCGGAGATTTTGGTGCTCGTTTTGGGCTGCTTCGACCGGAGATTTTGGGCTGCTTCGACCGGAGATTTTGGGCTGCTTCGACCGGAGATTTTGGGCTGCTTCGACCGGAGATTTTGGGCTGCTTCGACCGGAGATTTTGGGCTGCTTCGACCGGAGATTTTGGGCTGGTTCGACCGGAGATTTTGGGCTGCTTCGACCGGAGATTTTGGGCTGCTTCGACCGGAGATTTTGGGCTGCTTCGACCGGAGATTTTGGGCTGCTTCGACCGGAGATTTTGGGCTGCTTCGACCGGAGATTTTGGGCTGCTTCGACCGGAGATTTTGGGCTGCTTCGACCGAGATTTTGGGCTGCTTCGACCGGAGATTTTGGGCTGCTTCGACCGGAGATTTTGGGCCTGCTTCCGACCGGAGATTTTGGGCTGCTTCGACCGGAGATTTTGGGCTGCTTCGACCGGAGATTTTGGGCTGCTTCGACCGGAGATTTTGGGCTGCTTCGACCGGAGATTTTGGGCTGCTTCGACCGGAGATTTGGGCTGCTTCGACCGGAGATTTTGGGCTGCTTCGACCGGAGATTTTGGGCTGCTTCGACCGGAGATTTTGGGCTGGGGATTTCCACCAGAGATTTTGGGCTGCTTCGGACCGAGAGATTTTGGGCTTGGTTCCACCAGAGATTTTGGGCTGCTTCGACCGGAGATTTCGGGCTGCTTCACCAGAGATTGGGCTGCTTCGACCAGAGATTTTGGGCTGGTTCCACCAGAGATTTTGGGGCTGCTTCGACCGGAGATTTGGGCTGCTTCGACCGGAGATTTTGGGGCTGCTTCGACCAGAGATTTTGGGCTGCTTCGACCGGAGATTTTGGGCTGCTTCGACCGGAGATTTTGGGCTGCTTCGACCAGATTTTGGTGCTTCGACCGATTTTGGGCTGCTTCGACCGGAGATTTTGGGCTGCTTCGACCGGAGATTTTGGGCTGCTTCGACCGGAGATTTTGGGCTGCTTCGACCGGAGATTTTGGGCTGCTTCGACCGGAGATTTAGGGCTGCTTCGACCGGAGATTTTGGGCTGCTTCGACCAGAGATTTTGGGCTGCTTCGACCGGAGATTTTGGGCTGCTTCGACCGGAGATTTTGGGCTGCTTCGACCGGAGATTTGGGCTGCTTCGAGGAGATTTCGGGCTGCTTCGACCGGAGATTTAGGGCTGCTTCGACCGGAGATTTTGGGCTGCTTCGACCGGAGATTTAGGGCTGCTTCGACCGGAGATTTTGGGCTGCTTCGACCGGAGATTTAGGGCTGCTTCGACCGGAGATTTAGGGCTGCTTCGACCGGAGATTTAGGGCTGCTTCGACCGGAGATTTAGGGCTGCTTCGACCGGAGATTTAGGGCTGCTTCGACCGGAGATTTTGGGCTGCTTCGACCGGAGATTTTGGGCTGCTTCGACCGGAGATTTAGGGCTGCTTCGACCGGAGATTTAGGGCTGCTTCGACCGGAGATTTAGGGCTGCTTCGACCGGAGATTTAGGGCTGCTTCGACCGGAGATTTAGGGCTGCTTCGACCGGAGATTTTGGGCTGCTTCGACCGGAGATTTTTACGGAGGGCTGCTTCGACCGGAGATTTTGGGCTGCTTCGACCGGAGATTTTGGGCTGCTTCGACCGGAGATTTTGGGCTGCTTCGACCGGAGATTTTGGGCTGCTTCGACCGGAGATTTTTGGGCTGCTTCGACCGGAGATTTTGGGCTGCTTCGACCGGAGATTTTGGGCTGCTTCGACCGGAGATTTTGGGCTGCTTCGACCGGAGATTTTGGGCTGCTTCGACCGGAGATTTTGGGCTGCTTCGACCGGAGATTTTGGGCTGCTTCGACCGGAGATTTCGGGCTGCTTCGACCGGAGATTTTGGGCTGCTTCGACCGGAGATTTAGGGCTGCTTCGACCGGAGATTTAGGGCTGCTTCGACCGGAGATTTAGGGCTGCTTCGACCGGAGATTTAGGGCTGCTTCGACCGGAGATTTAGGGCTGCTTCGACCGGAGATTTTGGGCTGCTTCGACCGGAGATTTAGGGCTGCTTCGACCGGAGATTTAGGGCTGCTTCGACCGGAGATTTAGGGCTGCTTCGACCGGAGATTTAGGGCTGCTTCGACCGGAGATTTAGGGCTGCTTCGACCGGAGATTTAGGGCTGCTTCGACCGGAGATTTAGGGCTGCTTCGACCTTGTAGCCATTAAGCGTTAGGGTGGGCAGCAGCGAAGAGGAGAAACTTTAGCAAAAAGAGTGACAGTGGGTGAATTGATACCCCTGTTAAAAACCGAGAATTCGAAGCTCCGAACTCAACTCCACTAGAAGATTAAAACGCAAACTAGTTTCGGCTGACTGGGACAGGCCCCAAATCAGACCTTCATCAGCCCTGAGATTTAGGGCTGCTTCGACCTGAGATTTAGGGCTGCTTCGACCTGAGATTTAGGGCTGCTTCGACCTGAGATTTAGGGCTGCTTCGACCTGAGATTTAGGGCTGCTTCGACCTGAGATTTAGGGCTGCTTCGACCTGAGATTTTGGGCTGCTTCGACCGGAGATTTTGGGCTGCTTCGACCTGAGATTTTGGGCTGCTTCGACCGGAGATTTTGGGCTGCTTCGACCAGAGATTTTGGGCTGCTTCGACCAGAGATTTTGGGCTGCTTCGACCGGAGATTTAGGGCTGCTTCGACCGGAGATTTTGGGCTGCTTCGACCAGAGATTTTGGGCTGCTTCGACCGGAGATTTGGGCTGCTTCGACCGGAGATTTAGGGCTGCTTCGACCTGAGATTTAGGGCTGCTTCGACCTGAGATTTAGGGCTGCTTCGACCTGAGATTTAGGGCTGCTTCGACCTGAGATTTTGGGCTGCTTCGACCGGAGATTTTGGGCTGCTTCGACCTGAGATTTTGGGCTGCTTCGACCGGAGATTTTGGGCTGCTTCGACCAGAGATTTTGGGCTGCTTCGACCAGAGATTTTGGGCTGCTTCGACCGGAGATTTTGGGCTGCTTCGACCGGAGATTTTGGGCTGCTTCGACCGGAGATTTTGGGCTGCTTCGACCGGAGATTTTGGGCTGCTTCGACCAGAGATTTTGGGCTGCTTCGACCGGAGATTTTGGGCTGCTTCGACCGGAGATTTAGGGCTGCTTCGACCGGAGATTTTGGGCTGCTTCGACCAGAGATTTTGGGCTGCTTCGACCGGAGATTTTGGGCTGCTTCGACCGGAGATTTTGGGCTGCTTCGACCGGAGATTTTGGGCTGCTTCGACCGGAGATTTTGGGCTGCTTCGACCGGAGATTTTGGGCTGCTTCGACCGGAGATTTTGGGCTGCTTCGACCGGAGATTTTGGGCTGCTTCGACCGGAGATTTTGGGCTGCTTCGACCGGAGATTTAGGGCTGCTTCGACCGGAGATTTTGGGCTGCTTCGACCGGAGATTTTGGGCTGCTTCGACCGGAGATTTTGGGCTGCTTCGACCGGAGATTTTGGGCTGCTTCGACCGGAGATTTTGGGCTGCTTCGACCGGAGATTTTGGGCTGCTTCGACCGGAGATTTTGGGCTGCTTCGACCGGAGATTTTGGCTGCTTCGACCGGAGATTTTGGGCTGCTTCGACCGGAGATTTTGGGCTGCTTCGACCGGAGATTTTGGGCTGCTTCGACCGGAGATTTTGGGCTGCTTCGACCGGAGATTTTGGGCTGCTTCGACCGGAGATTTTGGGCTGCTTCGACCGGAGATTTTGGGCTGCTTCGACCGGAGATTTTGGGCTGCTTCGACCGGAGATTTTGGGCTGCTTCGACCGGAGATTTTGGGCTGCTTCGACCGGAGATTTTGGGCTGCTTCGACCGGAGATTTTGGGCTGCTTCGACCGGAGATTTAGGGCTGCTTCGACCGGAGATTTTGGGCTGCTTCGACCGGAGATTTTGGGCTGCTTCGACCGGAGATTTTGGGCTGGTTCCACCAGAGATTTTGGGCTGCTTCGACCAGAGATTTTGGGCTGGTTCCACCAGAGATTTTGGGCTGCTTCGACCGGAGATTTTGGGCTGCTTCGACCAGAGATTTTGGGCTGCTTCGACCGGAGATTTTGGGCTGCTTCGACCGGAGATTTAGGGCTGCTTCGACCGGAGATTTTGGGCTGCTTCGACCAGAGATTTTGGGCTGCTTCGACCGGAGATTTTGGGCTGCTTCGACCGGAGATTTTGGGCTGCTTCGACCGGAGATTTTGGGCTGCTTCGACCGGAGATTTTGGGCTGCTTCGACCGGAGATTTTGGGCTGCTTCGACCGGAGATTTTGGGCTGCTTCGACCGGAGATTTTGGGCTGCTTCGACCGGAGATTTTGGGCTGCTTCGACCGGAGATTTAGGGCTGCTTCGACCGGAGATTTTGGGCTGCTTCGACCGGAGATTTTGGGCTGCTTCGACCGGAGATTTTGGGCTGCTTCGACCGGAGATTTTGGGCTGCTTCGACCGGAGATTTTGGGCTGCTTCGACCGGAGATTTTGGGCTGCTTCGACCGGAGATTTTGGGCTGCTTCGACCGGAGATTTTGGGCTGCTTCGACCGGAGATTTTGGGCTGCTTCGACCGGAGATTTTGGGCTGCTTCGACCGGAGATTTTGGGCTGCTTCGACCGGAGATTTTGGGCTGCTTCGACCGGAGATTTAGGGCTGCTTCGACCGGAGATTTTGGGCTGCTTCGACCGGAGATTTTGGGCTGCTTCGACCGGAGATTTTGGGCTGGTTCCACCAGAGATTTTGGGCTGCTTCGACCAGAGATTTTGGGCTGGTTCCACCAGAGATTTTGGGCTGCTTCGACCGGAGATTTTGGGCTGCTTCGACCAGAGATTTTGGGCTGCTTCGACCGGAGATTTTGGGCTGCTTCGACCGGAGATTTAGGGCTGCTTCGACCGGAGATTTTGGGCTGCTTCGACCGGAGATTTTGGGCTGCTTCGACCGGAGATTTTGGGCTGCTTCGACCGGAGATTTTGGGCTGCTTCGACCGGAGATTTTGGGCTGCTTCGACCGGAGATTTTGGGCTGCTTCGACCGGAGATTTTGGGCTGCTTCGACCGGAGATTTTGGGCTGCTTCGACCGGAGATTTAGGGCTGCTTCGACCGGAGATTTTGGGCTGCTTCGACCGGAGATTTAGGGCTGCTTCGACCGGAGATTTTGGGCTGCTTCGACCGGAGATTTTGGGCTGCTTCGACCGGAGATTTTGGGCTGCTTCGACCGGAGATTTTGGGCTGCTTCGACCGGAGATTTTGGGCTGCTTCGACCGGAGATTTTGGGCTGCTTCGACCGGAGATTTTGGGCTGCTTCGACCGGAGATTTTGGGCTGCTTCGACCGGAGATTTTGGGCTGCTTCGACCGGAGATTTTGGGCTGCTTCGACCGGAGATTTTGGGCTGCTTCGACCGGAGATTTTGGGCTGCTTCGACCGGAGATTTTGGGCTGCTTCGACCGGAGATTTTGGGCTGCTTCGACCGGAGATTTCGGGCTGCTTCGACCGGAGATTTTGGGCTGCTTCGACCGGAGATTTAGGGCTGCTTCGACCGGAGATTTAGGGCTGCTTCGACCGGAGATTTAGGGCTGCTTCGACCGGAGATTTAGGGCTGCTTCGACCGGAGATTTAGGGCTGCTTCGACCGGAGATTTTGGGCTGCTTCGACCGGAGATTTTGGGCTGCTTCGACCGGAGATTTTGGGCTGGTTCCACCAGAGATTTTGGGCTGCTTCGACCAGAGATTTTGGGCTGGTTCCACCAGAGATTTTGGGCTGCTTCGACCGGAGATTTCGGGCTGCTTCGACCAGAGATTTTGGGCTGGTTCCACCAGAGATTTTGGGCTGCTTCGACCGGAGATTTTGGGCTGCTTCGACCGGAGATTTTGGGCTGCTTCGACCAGAGATTTTGGGCTGCTTCGACCAGAGATTTTGGGCTGCTTCGACCGGAGATTTTGGGCTGCTTCGACCGGAGATTTTGGGCTGCTTCGACCGGAGATTTTGGGCTGCTTCGACCGGAGATTTTGGGCTGCTTCGACCAGAGATTTTGGGCTGCTTCGACCGGAGATTTTGGGCTGCTTCGACCGGAGATTTAGGGCTGCTTCGACCGGGATTTTGGGCTGCTTCGACCAGAGATTTTGGGCTGCTTCGACCGGAGATTTTGGGCTGCTTCGACCGGAGATTTTGGGCTGCTTCGACCGGAGATTTTGGGCTGCTTCGACCGGAGATTTTGGGCTGCTTCGACCGGAGATTTTGGGCTGCTTCGACCGGAGATTTTGGGCTGCTTCGACCGGAGATTTTGGGCTGCTTCGACCGGAGATTTTGGGCTGCTTCGACCGGAGATTTAGGGCTGCTTCGACCGGAGATTTTGGGCTGCTTCGACCGGAGATTTTGGGCTGCTTCGACCGGAGATTTTGGGCTGCTTCGACCGGAGATTTTGGGCTGCTTCGACCGGAGATTTTGGGCTGCTTCGACCGGAGATTTTGGGCTGCTTCGACCGGAGATTTTGGGCTGCTTCGACCGGAGATTTTGGGCTGCTTCGACGGAGATTTTGGGGCTGCTTCGACCGGAGATTTTGGGCTGCTTCGACCGGAGATTTTGGGCTGCTTCGACCGGAGATTTTGGGCTGCTTCGACCGGAGATTTTGGGCTGCTTCGACCGGAGATTTTGGGCTGCTTCGACCGGAGATTTTGGGCTGCTTCGACCGGAGATTTTGGGCTGCTTCGACCGGAGATTTTGGGCTGCTTCGACCGGAGATTTTGGGCTGCTTCGACCGGAGATTTTGGGCTGCTTCGACCGGAGATTTTGGGCTGCTTCGACCGGAGATTTAGGGCTGCTTCGACCGGAGATTTTGGGCTGCTTCGACCGGAGATTTTGGGCTGCTTCGACCGGAGATTTTGGGCTGGTTCCACCAGAGATTTTGGGCTGCTTCGACCAGAGATTTTGGGCTGGTTCCACCAGAGATTTTGGGCTGCTTCGACCGGAGATTTTGGGCTGGCTTCGACCAGAGATTTTGGGCTGGTTCCACCAGAGATTTTGGGCTGCTTCGACCGGAGATTTTGGGGCTGCTTCGACCGGAGATTTTGGGCTGCTTCGACCGGAGATTTTGGGCTGCTTCGACCGGAGATTTTGGGCTGCTTCGACCGGAGATTTTGGGCTGCTTCGACCGGAGATTTTGGGCTGCTTCGACCGGAGATTTTGGGCTGCTTCGACCGGAGATTTTGGGCTGCTTCGACCGGAGATTTAGGGCTGCTTCGACCGGAGATTTAGGGCTGCTTCGACCGGAGATTTTGGGCTGCTTCGACCGGAGATTTTGGGCTGCTTCGACCGGAGATTTTGGGCTGCTTCGACCGGAGATTTTGGGCTGCTTCGACCGGAGATTTTGGGCTGCTTCGACCGGAGATTTTGGGCTGCTTCGACCGGAGATTTTGGGCTGGTTCCACCAGAGATTTTGGGCTGCTTCGACCGGAGATTTCGGGCTGCTTCGACCAGAGATTTTGGGCTGGTTCCACCAGAGATTTTGGGCTGCTTCGACCGGAGATTTTGGGCTGCTTCGACCGGAGATTTTGGGCTGGTTCCACCAGAGATTTTGGGCTGCTTCGACCGGAGATTTCGGGCTGCTTCGACCAGAGATTTTGGGCTGGTTCCACCAGAGATTTTGGGCTGCTTCGACCAGAGATTTTGGGCTGCTTCGACCGGAGATTTAGGGCTGCTTCGACCGGAGATTTCGGGCTGCTTCGACCGGAGATTTTGGGCTGCTTCGACCGGAGATTTTGGGCTGCTTTGACCGGAGATTTTGGGCTGCTTCGACCGGAGATTTTGGGCTGCTTCGACCGGAGATTTTGGGCTGCTTCGACCGGAGATTTTGGGCTGCTTCGACCGGAGATTTTGGGTTGCTTCGACCGGAGATTTTGGGCTGCTTCGACCGGAGATTTTGGGCTGCTTCGACCGGAGATTTTGGGCTGGTTCCACCAGAGATTTTGGGCTGCTTCGACCAGAGATTTTGGGCTGGTTCCACCAGAGATTTTGGGCTGCTTCGACCGGAGATTTCGGGCTGCTTCGACCAGAGATTTTGGGCTGGTTCCACCAGAGATTTTGGGCTGCTTCGACCGGAGATTTCGGGCTGCTTCGACCAGAGATTTTGGGCTGCTTCGACCGGAGATTTTGGGCTGCTTCGACCGGAGATTTTGGGCTGCTTCGACCGGAGATTTTGGGCTGCTTCGACCGGAGATTTAGGGCTGCTTCGACCGGAGATTTTGGGCTGCTTCGACCGGAGATTTTGGGCTGCTTCGACCGGAGATTTTGGGCTGCTTCGACCGGAGATTTTGGGCTGCTTCGACCGGAGATTTCGGGCTGCTTCGACCGGAGATTTCGGGCTGCTTCGACCAGAGATTTTGGGCTGCTTCGACCGGAGATTTTGGGCTGCTTCGACCGGAGATTTCGGGCTGCTTCGACCTGAGATTTAGGGCTGCTTCGACCGGAGATTTAGGGCTGCTTCGACCGGAGATTTTGGGCTGCTTCGACCGGAGATTTTGGGCTGCTTCGACCGGAGATTTTGGGCTGCTTCGACCGGAGATTTTGGGCTGCTTCGACCGGAGATTTTGGGCTGCTTCGACCGGAGATTTTGGGCTGGTTCCACCAGAGATTTTGGGCTGGTTCGACCAGAGATTTTGGGCTGGTTCGGCCCGTAGGCTATCGCATGGGCCAACTCGATAGCTGCCAGCCACCAGCCGTGCCTTGTATGCCCATGAGCGGGCGCCGGGTGCTTCCTGCTTTACGTAGTTGACTCAATGACTCACCGCACGTGCCTTTTGAGTCGACTCAAAAGTTTACTCAATGACTCACCGCACGTGCCTTTTGAGTCGACTCAAAAGTTGACTCAATGACTCACCGCACGTGCCCTGGTCGACGGTGGGTCCCACAACAGTCCTGTTCTGCTTGTTGACCACCTGCATGCGCCAGTCCACCGCCGTCTTGTACGTCCACGAGGGCTTGGTGGCTGTGCCGGTGTATCCCATGCTGACGTGGCGGAAGTACTTGTTGAAGTTGGTGAGCGGCTGGGGAGGGAAGGGATAGCAGAACGTAAGCGGAGGGGAGATTTTAGTCAGCTCAACAAGCATTCAGTGGCACAGCATGATACGCCCGAAACAGCAGCAGCAGCAGCAAGGAGCAGCGGACAGAGCGGAATAACCCTCTGCTCACCTAGGTTAGTGATCTGGGAGCGGACTAACTCTCTCTCTCTCTGGGAGCGGAATGAATAACCCTGTGCTCGCCTTGGTTGGTATTCTGCGGGAAGGAATAACCCTCTGCTCACCTTGGTTGGTACAGCCTGGTAATCCGTGTCCTTGAGACCTGGCTTGCGACGGTCGGGGTCTGCTTATAAAGGGGATGGGGAAAGGAGGGAGACGAAGGAAGGGAATGAAATGGTGATCTGTTGGATGCAGGTGTGTAGGAGTATGCATGTGAGTGAGTGAGGGTGTGCGAGGGTGTGAGGGTGTTTGACAGGGTGTGTGTGTGTGTGTGTGTGAGTGAGGGTGTGAGGGTGTGTGTACGGTGTGTGAGAGAGTGTGGGTGTCTGTCCTAATATATGCAGAGTGGCAGTTGCAACTTGCATCAAAACGAGCACACACGAGCCAGCAGGCACCAGCAAAGGTGAGCACGACTATATACAGTTAAGGTGTGCACTTTTTCGAGTATACCTTCTGGTGGGGGCGGAGGGGGTGACGGTGGCGGGTTAGCCATGGTTGAGTTGCTGCACGAGGGGTATCGGATCCCACTCTGAATTGCAAAATACACGAAATAATCCTTCTCGCATTCGCATGTCGGGATGCGTGAAGGTCCAGACAAATAACACCGCCCGTGCCCTCCGCACGGCCCTCCTGCCATGCCCGCACCACAAAACGCCAAACAATCATTCGTCTTCCGCTGCTTGTCTGACGTGCATGCCCCCTTGGTGGAAGTTACCATGCAGTTTCCTCGCACGGACCCATAGAGAGATGGGCTGTAGGGCAGAAGGGCGGCTTGTGCGAACCCTCCCTGGAGTTTGTTCGGGCAGAAAGAAATCGTTCCGTTGCCCGCTGTGATGTTAGCATTGGCCGACCCGTTGAAATAGTTTCTCTCGATGTTGTAGGTGGCCTCGGCAGTTGCTTGGAAGGAGGTGCTTGCAAAACCCGTCGGCGCGGGGCCTGAGAGCTCATTGTTTGAAATGTCGCTGGAAGGAGACAGGAAGGGAAGGGGAGAGAAGAGGGAAGGGAAGGGGCGAGAAGTGGGAAGGGAAGGGGAGAGAAGTGGGAAGGGAAGAGAAGGGAAGGGAAGAGAAGGGATGGCAGGGAGTTACACGGAGGAAGGAAGAGACGGGAGTTAACGGAAAGGAAGTCGTAAGTAGCTTGGGAGGTTGCTGGAAGGGTGGTTGCTGGAAGGGGGGTTGAAGGAAGGGATGTTGCTGCAAGGAGGGTTGAAGGAAGGGAGGTTGCTGCAAGGAGGGTTGAAGGAAGGGTGGTTGCTGGAAGGGGGGTTGCTGGAAGGGGGGTTGCTGGAAGGGCGGTCGAAAGAGACTTTGCTGGTGAACCTGGTTGGTGGGGGGCGTGAGAAATCGTGATGGGAAATGTCACATGCCAAGTGCTCACCTCGCCTCGACACCTCTCTATTGTCACATGCTAAGTGCTCACCCCAACACCCCCCTATCATCACATGCCATCCATGCGAAGGGCTCACAAGTAGATGAGGTTGCGGAGGGCGAGGACCAAGCGCAACTCCCTATTGTCACGTGCCTCTCTGCTCACGCCCAACAGTTCTCTATTGTCACGTGCATCTCTGCTCACGCCCAACAGTTCTCTTTTGTCACGTGCGAAGGGCTCACAAGTAGATGAGGTTGGGGAGAGCGACGACTTCGGCTGGAATGCTGCCAGACAGACGGTTCTTGCTCAGGTCGCTGGGAAAAGGGGAGGGAGGGAAGGACGAGAGGGGTGGAAGGGAGAGGGTGGAAGGGGGGAAAGGGGGAAAGGGGGGAAAAGGGGAAAGGGGGAAAGGGGGGAAAGGGGGAAGGGATGACTGGTGCTGGTATGCTGCCAGACAGTTCGTTCTTGCTAAGGTCGCTGCACAAGGGCAGGACAGGCGAGGTGGGGGTGAGTGAAGGGGTAATGGGGGAAAGGGAGAATGACCTGTGCTCGTATGCTGCCAGCCAAACTGATTCCGCTCAGATCGCTGCAAAAGGGAAGCACGTGAGGGGTGGGTGGGGGTGGGAGGGACGCGACGGCAGAGGGAAAGGAGTTGGGAGGGAGGGAGAGCGATGACCTCGGCCTATTGTCGAGCCTATTGTGCTGCCGTGAAGATTGAGTTGGACTCGTATTATGAGCAGCTCGTTATTGTCACACATGTCCCACGGACAGAGCCTCACAGCTTGTTATAGTCACATGCACAGAGCCTCGCAGCTCGCCATAGTCACACGCACAGAGCCTAGCAGCTCGCCATGGTCACACGCACGGAGCCTAGCAGCTCGCCATAGTCACATGCACGGAGCCTAGCAGCTCGCCATAGTCACACGCACAGAGCCTAGCAGCTCGCCAGTCACACGCACAGAGCCTAGCAGCTCGCCATAGTCACACGCACAGAGCCTAGCAGCTCGCCATAGTCACACGCACAGAGCCTCGAGGTCGGTGAGAGTGCTGAGGTCCGAGGGCACTTGGTCCGTGATGCGGTTGTCGCTCAGGAGACTGCAGAAGATTAGGGGAAGGGGAAGGGAAAGCGCCAGGACCAGAAGTGGGAGTGGGAAGAGGAGGAAAGCAGTCAGGGAGTGCTCAGTTTCATGGGCGCTCAGTCTGCTATGCGGTTGTCGGTGAGGAGATTGGTGGGGGGAGGGGAGAGGGGGGCGGGGGGAGGGGGGTGGAGGAGGGCGGGAGAGGGGGAGATGGGGAGGAGGAGGGGTGAACAGCAGTGTGCTGAGGCCCGAGGGAACTTGGTCCGCTATGCAGTGCCCGAGTGTCTTGGGTCTTGTTCCCTTGGGCCTGGGACCTTGTCACTCAGGCGACCATGGATATGAGGAATTGGGGGAATGAAGGTATGGACCTGGGCAAAGCCGGGTAACTACCTGACCGGGTAATCGTTCCTCGCTCAGGCGACCATGGATACGAGGAATTGGGGGATGAAGGCATGGGGTGTGCAAACGCCGAGGTAGAAAAACGGCACATATAGAGAACAAAGAAAGAAATAAGAAAATAATTAAACAAGTATATACAAGAGCTCACAGGTAGTTGAGCTTCGAGAGCGCGGAGTAGCCCGGGGGGATGAACCCAGCGATGTCGTTGCGGCCCAGAGATCTGTGCACGGGGCAACCATTTGACAGCAAGTAATTGAGAATTCTCAAAAACCGAACTGAGACCTGTGCAGGCAGGGGGCAACCATTTAACAGCAAGTTATCTCCATTAACATCTGAAAAGCGCATCACCCTCGTAAGCCGCACAGGAAGGACAGCTATCCTCGGACGGAGTTGCGAAGACGAGCTTATCAATAGGAGGACGGATGCCAACTCACAGGAAAGCCAGCTCGGTAAGAGGATATTCGGTGCACTGAAATTGACTGGTAAATCATCCTTGATGGATTCGCCAGGAGGAGCATACACGTACAGTATAACTTACGGTATAACTTACAAAATAACTTACAAAATAACTTACTGTACGACTTACAGTATAACTTACAGTATAGCGGAGACCTGTCAATAGAGCGACGGCAGTACACTCACAGGAAGGAGAGCGCGGTAAGCGCACTGAACTTGACTGGCAAATCATCCTCGATGGAATTGTCGTGCAACTTGCTGGTGGGAAGCAGGCAGGTAAAGGAGAGGGTGCAGGATAAAAGGCAAGGGGGAGGAGAGGGAGGGGAGGGAGGGAAAGAGGGGGGGGGGGGGGAGGAGGGGATTGAAAAGGTCACATTCTGCTAAATCATCCTCGATAGAATTGTCGTGAAGCTTGCTGGTGGGAAGGCGGGCAGGGAGAGGAGAAGGTGCAGGATAAAAGGCAGGGGGGAGGGGGGAGGAGTGGGAGGGGAGGGGGGGAAGAGGGGAGGGGGGGAGGAGGGGAGGGGGGGGAAGATGGGAGGGGGCAGGAGGGGAGGGGGGGGAGGGGGGGAGGAGGGGGAAGGAGGAGGGGATGGAAAAGGCCACATTTTGGTAAAACATCCGGATAGAATCGTTGGGCAGCTTGCTGGTGGGATGGGAAGGCGGGCAGGGAGAGTGGATGTTGGGGAGGGGAAGCTGAAGGGATCTACAAACAGATAAGGTGGGGAAGGGAAGTTGAAGGGATCTACGAACAGATAAGGTGGAGAGGGAAAAGTTTTCTGACAAGGACGGCAACTAAGAAGCAGAGAACGACCAATGGAGGGGGCTCAAAAGCAGCAGACCCAGCCACCCATGTCTGCAGATGCCACAGCACCGCACCGCATCGCAACACATCACAAAGCACAACATCACACCGCACCGCACTCCACCACACCGCACCACACCGCACCAACACGTGAAGGCTCACAGCTCTTGCAGCGTGACGAGCGTGGAGATGGCATCGGACGGAATCGTCCCCTCCAGATCGAGCCCGCTCAGGTCGCTGCGGGGGGGAAGGGAGGGAGGGGAGGGCAGGAAAGCATCGGACGGAATCGTCCCCTCCAGATCGAGCCCGCTCAGGTCGCTGGGGGGGGGAAGGGAGGGAGGGGAGGGCAGGAAAGCATCGGACGGAATCGTCCCCTCCAGATCGAGCCCGCTCAGGTCGCTGCGGGAGGGAGGGGGAGGAGAAGAAAGAGAAGGATAGTGTGAGGCAGAGAGAATGTGGGATTTCAGGGCGTAGCGGCCAGCAACAAAAGCGACTGCGTCCCATTGAAAGGCGGCAAAGGAAAAAGGAGCATAGTAGGAAGCGGTAGATGTGGACGCGGTAGATTTGAAAACGCATCCCCCTCACAGACGTTATCCCAACTCACAGACGCCATTAAGACTCACAGCTGCGTGACGTAGCCGTCGTCGTCGCACACCACCCCACCCCACGTGCTACAGTTCTCCCCCCGCCACCCACGAGACCGTTGCGGAGGGCCACGTGGTAGCTATCGATTGCATTGCGGTCGCTGGGGAAGACGGGGAACGTGGGGGACGGGAAAGAGGAGCGGGGGAGGGGAAAGAGGGGGGCGGAGGGGGGGGTGGGGGGGTGCGGGTGTTAGGGGAGGGGGAGGGGGAGGGGAAGATGAGAGAGGGCACGAGACCGTTGCGGAGGGCCTCCTGGTGGCTATTGCCTGCATCGCGTCCGCTGGGGGCGATGCGGAACGGGGGAGGGGGGGGTAACGGGGAGGGGAGAGAGGAGGGCGGAGATGGAGAACGGGCGAGGGGGGGGTAACGGGGAGGGGGGAGATGGGGAACGGGGGGAACGGGGGGGGACGGGGAGGGAGGAGGGGGAAGGGGGGGGGGGGGGGGGGGGGGTGGAACAGGGAAGAGGAAGGGAGGGATGCGAAAATGGGGAAACGGGGGATGGACGAGTGAAGGGGAGCGGGGGACGAGAAGTGGGACAACTGCGACGGATGCGATGGCTGCGACGGCTGCGACGAACGTCGGTCTGGAGGCTGCGACAGACATGATTGACCTAGCGACGATACACGAATCGCAGGCTCTTTAACGAGAGTCGTCGCCGCCATTGAACGACGGACGACCGAGTCCAGCGACATGAGCCTGGAGAGACGACACCGCGGGATTCGAGCCCGGGACTTCTAAACGCCGAGCACCATTCACTCCCCTTCCCTACGCGAAGCGCCATCCGTAACAGCTGAAGGCGATACGACCAAAACTCACTCTGCGTCGAGTGCACGGGGATGATAACAGACCCAGCCTGCAGCGCCATCATTCCGCATGCAGCCATCACCAGCAGGCCGCCATTGTTAACTGTCGCCATCCGTTTAGCCATCCGGTTAGCCGTCCGGTTGGCCGTCGGTGTAGCCGTCCGTCTGGCCATCCGTCAAACTGTCCGTTGCCGCTCGCTCTCGGCATTCTCTTTCCGCTTGGCATTGTCCGCGCTGCCATCGTCGCTCCCCGCATGATCCTGCGGCTTAGGGTCGAAACCTAGCTACTGGGGATAATGGGTATTAAGAGTCGGATTCGTACACCAAACGGGTTCAACGAAGCTCGGAGTTCGCTATTGAGTCGACTCAAAAGCTCGTCCTCGCTCCCCGCATGTTACCGCGGCTGAGAGCCGATTTGAAACCTAGCTACTGTGGTAGATGCTTCTAAGAGTCGGATTCGCACACCAAACGGGTTCAAGGATGCTCGGGGTCCGTCGTCGCTCCCCGCATGTAGCGCGGCTGAGAGTCGAATCGAAAGCTAGCTAGTCGAACGCACCGCGGCTGCAGGAGTGGATGCTTCTACGAGCTCGATGCGCACACCAAAACGGTTGAAGACAAGAAAACACGGGGTCCGTAGTGAGGGGTACCTAGTAAGGTCCTGATACGGGACGTACAGCTTCGAGGCGCCGCGAAACTAGAAAACACGGGCCGGTTCGTCGAGAGGAGTACCTAGGGTCCTAACACGGGGCGATGCGACGCAAGAGGCGGGTGGCGTCTGGAAGACACGTGGCATTTGAGAGCGGGTGGCGTCTGGAAGACACGTGGCATTTGAGAGGCGGGTGGCGTCGGGAAGACACGTGGCATTTGAGAGGCGGATGGCATTTGACAGGCGGCGCGAGCTATGGTGCACGAGTTGCTGGATTTGGTTTAGGAAATCGCGGGAGAGACGGCGTCAGTCGCGGCTGGCTTTCTGGCTTCGTCACAGGATCCAGAGAAGCGAAACTGAATGACCGAGGAAACGTGCTGAACGGCGGATCAGGTGTCTATAGGGCCCGCTTAGCGCGTCGCAACTACGACAGACTTGATTCGTAATACAGTTCTGTAACACTCCACAACGAAGGCGATGCGACGGGACGGAGCTGAGCTGTGGTGGTTGAAAACGGAGCGGGTGGAAAGAGGTTCGCATGTGTCAAGCTCAGGGCGTGGTGCATGTTTGGGCGCAACCCATCGCAGTTGTGCAACCCGCCTTGTTACCAGGCTCGCTGAAATTCGTATGGTGCGTGAATTATGGGTTGAGCTGGTATTCGTTCGGTTGGGTTAGGTTTTTTGTCGGTTGCGCTAACAGGGTTGCGGTATCGAGGCAAGGCGCAACCCATGTACCACGCCCTCACCACGCCCTCACCGGGAAAGAGAATGTTAGCAGCAGTTGCTGACATGTGTTTCTCAAGCTTCTTTGTAAGCTCGCACTGGAGATGTCTCTTCTCTCCACCCCACAAATTTCAAGAGCTTGCTGACAACCGTCGCACAGAACTGTACAGCATAGAACCGACCCAAGCGTCACCTAGAGAAGCGGAACAGCAGCAGCGGGTCCAGGGCTGAGGAGACAACAGCAGCACTGAGCTTGAAAAAGCTGGAATGGAAGCTGTTTGTCTTGTCTCTTACTGAGGGGGTGTCGGCTACACAATGTCACGGTTTGACGTCGAGTAAACGCTTTCGAACGCACAAAAACATTCTCAATTGTGCGAAAACGCACTGTACCCCGTTGGAACGTCAGGCGGCATCGTTCTTCTCACACGACGCGCGAAGGGGTTGCGAGAGCAGCACCTCAACCCGTACCGCCCCAAACCGTGCCAGCACAAACAGCCATTTACCGCACTGAACCACGAAAACAATATCATAAACCTTGTTATTTCCCATTGTACCGTTAGCGAGTCGCCCTGATCAGTCCCGCTCCGATTCCCCGTCCCGTTCTCAAAGCAACCCGCCCTCACAAATGGCACTCCAACGTGGGCTGCGTAGGGGAGGTCTGTTGGGGAAAGAAAGCTGAGCGGCGGGCAGTTGGGGTGGGAAGGAAAAGGTACATCGCCCGACCTACCGTTCTGTAACGTTCTGAGACGTACAGGACCTGGGTGAAACGTTTCCGGCGACCTCAAGGGCTGGGTAACTGCCTACTGCTGGCATTCTCTAGAGCTTCCGCCGCAACGGCTACAGTAATGATGATTTGCACCGTACGCTCACCACTTTGCCAAGTTGCGGGGGCCAATGTGGAACTCGTCATTTCGCCTGTTTCGCCACAGGCAAATGGGTCACAGACGGGTAATTTGTAACAAAATATTCCAGGACTCGGAATTCTGGTCAATAAGCATGGTCCGTTTGTTCCGCGCTCATTAAACTGGCTCCACGTGGCGAATGTCGAGATTATAACAAAACGGCTACTGCCAGTAAAAATGGGGCAAATGAGCAAGCTAAATCGATTAGGATTACAAGACGTACGATGGACAGGAAACCATACGAACATCCGTGGGGGCTGGCTGGCACGTCATCATGACTGAAGGAATGTGGCGGCAGGGTGGATTTGTCGGCAGTGGTGGACGTCTTCGTTTGTTCCGTCTTGTGCCAACACTGTACAGTAGACACTATGCCCCCACGGTAACGTGGTGACTGTCGTGATTGTGTGACTCAATCGACTCTCCGACATTGGTGCAAAGGAAGTGCAGCAAACACGCGCTTTTCTGTGAGCTCATTGGGTTTCTCGTCAACCTCGATTGTTTCATAGGGTTACAGTCGAGACGTGACAGAGTTACACAAGATTTCAGGGTGATGGGGATTTAATCGCGCACCCATTTCGCTCGCCCTCGCCACGGGCAAAGGTGGTTCTCGCACGAGCAATATGGTAACTGATTTGGCGGTAGTGGTGTGGGCTTGGGTGGCGACGTCTGGGGTATTAGATCCTGAACAGTGACGCTGTTCATTGTCGCGATTACATGAGTTCATCGCAACTTCGACACTCTAATCGTCTCAGTACATGAAACTTAGCGACAGGCGCACACCGAACAGGGACCAGGCACAAGAAACACTACGTTGCACCAACACCAATTCTCTCCAACTCCATCCAAATCTCAATCCACATTTCACAGCAAGAGATAGAGGGAACGTAGAAGGACTTCGACACATACATCACAGATGAAACACCAGCGCGAGGACTAAAAACGTTAGGAGGGAACTTACGTTCTCTCCATCTCTCGCCACTGAAGAACCATTGCAGCCATTCCAGAAGACAGCACTCATGCGCCACATCTCAAATGTGGCGCATCCACTCCGCGGATGGCGGGAAGCCATCCATCACGGCGTCCACGCCGTGGCGGATGAGCTCAGCGCGGCGTTCCGAGTCACGATGGAGGCGGGCAGGACGCGCCCCACCCGAGGAGGAGGCGCGTTCAGGTCCGGAAGGGGGCTGGCGCGCTCCAGCCGCTCGACGACCACCGGGTTCCTTATGTCAAAGAGAACTCGGAGGTCGCGAGGGGAGATGTTGGTCGCGCGGGCATAGCCGACCAACATCTCCGTGGCCGCCCGCGCAGCCCGACGCGCCGCACGATCCCCTGCGTCGCCGAAGCACCCCATGTCCTCACGGGGAGGCGAATCCCAAGCGCTTGGGGTGCGGGCACGCGGGGCTCGCGGGAAAGAGGGTCCTCCCCCGGCGCCGCGCATGTGGGGAGGGAGTCGTCGATGGCGACGAACTGCTCCGCCGCCATCGCGCATGGGCCGAGGGCGAGGGACTCGATCTGCAACCCCACTTCCGCGATCTCGGCAGCGACCGTGTTCTCGGGATCCTCGACCTCCTCCTCCTCATCGACTTCGTCGGCGGCGAGAGCGTCGCACGAGAGCACTGGCAGCGGCACATGCTCCATCTCCGCCGCCCACTCCACGGGGAGGCAGCCCTTGCGCCACCAGCAGCGTTGGATGGTGCGGGCGCCCACACTGAGGCATGCGTCGTAGAGCCATTCGACAACCTGCCTCATGTTGGGGCGCCATCGGGACATGCGGCGGGCTGCATCGGACTCCTCCCACACTCGGACCAATTCCGTCAGCCACATGCTTCGATAGCGAGACTTGACCATGGCAATGATGCCTTGATCGAGTGGCTGGGTGAAGGCCGTCGTATTGGGTGGAAGATAGACGATGCGGGGGTGGCTGAGGCTTCGAGTGCGAAATCCGAAAAGATCCTCGGTCACGGCGTCGGGCGATTGGAGCGCTTGGGAGGAGGCGTTGTCGACCATTACTATTACGCGACGTCCCTCCGCAAACATCGCAGCGTTCAGCTGCTCCATGAAGTGCGTGAAAGCTGATGCGGCGGACGGGACGACATAAACGGAAAAATAAGGAGAAGGGTGGGGAAAGTGTAACGGGAAGATTGAGGAATGGCGAACGGCATTTTGGGGTAGGGTGTTAATGGCGCGTATCATGAATGCGGACATCGCCGAGCATAGGATGTGCGTATTACGTACCGCGCTCGTCATCCATCCGCGCTCATTGCTACGCCAGTAGCAATAAGAAGACGGGTCGTAGTTGGGGCGGAAGTCGACTGGGCGACGCGTCTTGCTCACGATGAGGGGGCGCCAAACCGTGCTGCCATCCGCATTACACAACACTCCGACGGTAAGACGCTCCTTAGCTTGCTTGCGCCCAGGCCAGTAGCGTCGACTCCAACTCTTTTTCGGCACTACCGAGATGAACAGGCACGTTTCGTCGAAGTTCAAGACATCGCGGGGGGTCATTCGGTAATGACGGAGAATTGCGGGGGCTGGGACTTGCACGTCATGACTGCACCCAAGTCAGCATCTCCGCCTCTCCGTGCTGCTTCATGCAGCGGATGTTCAGTCGACGGAGAGCACGACGGACCCACCCGAGCGACACCTTGAACGTGTCGGGTTTGTTGAGCGCCCTCGCCATGATCATGGCATTGGCTTGAATGGTTTGCAGGGTGAGAGAGACTCTGGCGGGCGCGACGCTCTCGATCTAGCGACACAGAAGCGCCTCAAGGTCCGGAGTGACGACCCTGACGGATGCGGCGTGAGGCGCCAATCGCGGTGTTGGCGTCCCAACGGGCGACGTCCTTCAGAATCTTCCCCACCGTGGAGCGGTCAGGGAGGATACCAAAAAGGATGTAGCACCATCTCGCCAAGTCCTCTTGGCGGAGGTGGGATACATGGTGTGATGCGCGCATATTGTGCGCTTCACCTCTAGCGGTACCTGCGCTCGACTGTGAACGCGCGGCATAGTGGTGTGGCGGTGAGTAGTGATAGATGGAGGTGGCGAGTGATTCTCATTCTCTGTAATTCTCACTTTCATACCTCTCGCGTCACAGTTTGCAGGGCGAGCCGCGTATTTTGAGGGGTTGGTGTTGGAATTGGACATGTACCTTTGGTGCGTGTTCAATCTACGAATACGGAACGGGTTCAGCGACAATGCCCACGGGGAGCGCGATAAACGTGCGTAATATTTGTAGTGCCTGGTTAGCTAAGTGACCCGGATTACCGTGACGAGAGATAGGGGCCCTTCGAACTTGGGGTCAATGTACTGTCATCAGCCACGTCAATCCACAATAATCATGCGGCGCATTTTCAACCCCAGGGGGGCGTACATCGTGTCGTGAGTTTCACTCTCAGATTTCAAATGAGGCGTTTATGAAAGATAAGCGCCGTAACTGCGACAACGGTGCACAGTCATGCGGCGCAAAAAATGCCACTGTGGTCGGGTTGTCCTATGCCACATGATGGTCACCGACGTCATGATGACGGGGCACTGTGCGTATATGACGGGACACTAACGGATATCACATTTCCCGTATATCGGGGGTTTAGGGACGTGGTTCTGATTGGGCGACAGGCTGAGCAGCGATAAGGGTGGACATCAACTGTATTTGTGAACACTCTACACGAACACTTATCTTGAACTCCTCACTAGGGTGTATCATGCATGTATCTGACTACTGTACACCTTTCCTCCTCTATTGTCTCACCCGGAACAGTCCAAATTGCAATCCCACCTACCTGGTTCTCAGCATGACTCACGTTGACACTGAACCTGATTGGCTGCAGTCTGAACGATAGCGAACAACCAAGTCGTATTTCGACAATTGTGAGTTTCAGAGCTGGGACGTCGCACAGGCAATAACTAATCTGGTGCATGAGTGAGATTTTGTAACCAAGTGTTAGTGCTTACTGTGGGTTTTCCCCTTCAAGGTCCCGTTTGCCCGTGTTTTACCATTTCATGCTTACAGGCTCGAGCCGCGTGCAAAAACCGTGGGACTAAATAGGAGAAAAGGTGTATGAACACAGCACTCCAGTTTCAGAAGTTAAGAGTCCGACTTGTTCTAGAAAATGTTCCGCGCCCTGGGTGTCAAAAGGTGGCGTGTGCAAATGTATGCCCCTCATGAAAAGCTACCGGTACTGGTGCCCATGTCAGCTTGATGAATTGGATTTCATACATCTCAACAATGTTTGCATTGTGAAAGCTTGCTTAGGTCCTCTTGAAAGGCAGCGTGCTTCATTTCATATGGGTGACATACATTGGTTCTCGTCCAATAAACTACTCAACACATAGCTAGGGTGGGTGGGCGGGAAAACTCAAATGAGTTGAACTAGAAATGAAGAATGTGGGTGAGGCAGAGAGGCCTCACGTTCCTCTTTTGAATGCAAAAGAGGGTTAGGTGCGCTTCGCCGCTGCCTTTGCTGCGTTGGCTCTTGCTACACTATCACAATGCACATTTTTAGAAGCGCTACACGCTTTCAAAAAATTACATATTGTGAAAGCTTGCTTAGGTCCTCTTGAAAGGCAGCGTGCTTCATTTCATATGGGTCTTCTGAGGCATGTGGAGGACGGGTCGGCGTTGCCGCTCGATGGACAGCTGGTGGTTGTTGGGCGATGGGGCTGCGGATGGATCTTGAAGCTACGTGGAGGCTGCAAGAAGGTGGTCTTGCGCGATAGTGACGTATAGCTCCTTCGCACTGTCGCTGTGCTATCGGCCTAGACGCTTGAAAAGCCTGTCAGGTATCCCCAGGCTGGCCGCTGCGGTCGCGGCGCCCTTGCGGAAAGAGTGGGTGCCGAGATTGGTGGGGTCGAGGCTTGCTGCGGCAAAGGCTTCCAGACACCAATTCCGAATGGTTGTGTATGAAGGTGCGGTCCCATGGGGTGGCCTTGCCTCTGGTCCGAAGATGCGAATCAGAGGCCCGTGTGGGGTGGCGGTGTGGCCTGCAAGGTGAATGAAGCACCGCGTGCAGCTGACGGGGCAATAGGGTGTGGTTGTGGCGGCAATGGGGACCCAGGTGCCTTTGCCTTCCTGATCCGTCTTGGAGTGTGGGATCAGGACCCACATTGCCTTGTCCTCAAACTGTATGTCATTCCACTGGATGCTGACGAGGTCCGAGTAGCGTAGGAATGCTGCGAACATGAGCAGCGGAATGAGACCCTTCTGGTATGTGGCTGGGTTAGTTGATTCGAGGAAGGGACGGGCCATAGTATGGACTTGGTGGAGCGACAAGGGTTCCTTATTCCTTGTGGGGCGTGCCCCATGGCGCTTGGCAAATTCGCATACTTGTACCGTGAAAGGGCCGTTCGTGGGGGGTTCGCCAGTCATCCGGTGTGCGAAAGAGATGGCAGAGCATGTGAGGATATGGCAGAGGCGGTTGCTTGGTGATTGAGCGTGTGAACAAGATAGAGCGCCAGGGTCGTGTCCGTGCTGGCAGATAGCCGAGCTTGAATTGCGCGCAGAATGAGCGAAATTTCTGCCAGTACGGGTCATAGGTCTTGATAGTGGAGGGCGCCCGGACGTGGGTGGTTATGCGCAGTAATTGTGTCTTTAACTTCGACAGCATGCCTGAAAATATACACCATACATGGAGGAGTTATATCTTGTAGGTTACATGCAAGGCAATCATCTGGCTATGAGGCAGGCCTTGGCCGGCGAAAGCGAGCGAGTGTGTGCCAGGGCGGAGACATTGGGTGCCATGGGTGAGTGGGATATGGGCTACTATCTCCGGCGCCCACACACGGGGTGCTAGCTGGAGGAGTGGCCACCATGATGCGCCGGGCCATTCGGGGATGACCAATAGCTCAGGCGTGTGCGTTGGGCGTGTCGCAGGGTGGCTGGAATGAGGTGGGGCGGGGAAATGCGAAGCCGTACTCGTGCTGCCAATTGAGTGAGAAAGCAATCGCTGTTGCCTCAGGATGGGGGATCTTGGAACAGAAACGCTGCAGCTGGGCATTGCGTACGTTGGCAAAAAGATCGATGGAGTGAGGTCCAAGTCGACGATCCAAGAGCCGGAACCAAGGGGTTTGAAGAGAGTAGTCGTCGTAGTCTTGGACTTTCGAGAGCTCATCCGCGTGGGCATTCAATTCTCTCGGAATCCATTCGACAGCGAGTCGTGTCCGGTTTTCCAAGCACAGTCTGATGATCGCTTGACATAGCAGCGTGAGTGAGGGGTGGCGTGAGCCGCCCTTACGAAGGATGAACACCACCCCTTGGTTGTCGACGCGAACCAGCACGTGACGCTTGACGAGGTGGGTGGTGAATGTCCGGAGTGCCCAAAGGACGCCTTCGAGTTCCCTTCGAGTGCTGGAGGTGGGCATGAGCTCTTTTGGCATGCGATCGCTGGCCTCGATGTGCGTGCCAGGCAGTTGAGTGAGGGTGGCACCCCAGCTGTGGCACTTGCATCAACGTGGATGACAGCGTCGTGTTGGTGACTGAGATGGAATGGGGCGCCGTTGAATTGGTCGAAGTGCGAAAGCCAGAAGCGTAGCTCTGTTAATGCGGGCGGAGGTAGTTTGATTTGTCATGCCAAGACGTGGCGTCGGCGATGAGTCGCAGGAGCTCATGACTGAAGGCTCGTGCTGTGGCGCCCAATGCTAGGGTCATGGAGGCCAACATGCCAGTGACTCGCGCAAGGGAGCGGATGGGGACTCGTCGTCCTGCTTGGCCCTGGGCGATGATGTCGGTGAGTGTGGCTAGGAGCTGAGCTCGTCGTTCGTGACCGATGGAGAATTTGCCGCGAACTGCGTCGACCTCCAGGCCGAGGAAGTGGATCAGGCGCGTGGGGTGGAGATGCGATTTTTTCTCGTTGATAACAAAACCAGCCGCCTTTAGGTCTTGGGTAACTGCGGCGCATGCTGAGCGCGCGTGTGTATGAGAGTTGCAAAGGAATAGAAGGTCGTCGACGTACGGGACGACGCGTAGGCCACTGGCCCTCCACCGCTTTGCCAACTGTTTGATTAGCTGGGTGAAAACGAACGGGGCGGTGGCGAGACCAAACGGCAGCGAGCGGAAGGAGTAGTACGCGCCCTCAAATTGGAAGCCCAAGTACTTCCAGGAGGAGGGGTGCATCTCGACGTGGTGATAGCCGGACTTCAGGTCGATGGAGAACATCCAGTCGCCGGGACGGATGAGTCGGCTACCCGGTTCAAGCCTTCATACTTGAACTTTGGAATTTCGAGGTGGGCGTTGACTTTGCGAAGGTCGAGAATGAGGCGACATTTGTTACGCTGCTCGACGACGTTCAAAGGACTAACGCAGGTCAGCGTATCTCGCGTGGGGACTGGCACGGCAGAGCCAGTGGCAACAAGTTCTTGAATTGCTTCGCGAGTGAAGTCAAGGTGTGTGAACGCCGGCATGGTTCTTGTCGTCGAAGGAGGGCGGGGTGTGTGCTTCAAGGGCAGCCAATCGCCTTTGGCGATTATAGATATTATGAAACTGCTATCTCACCAGAGCACCACCAATGCAGGGCCTGGCGCAGTCGGCTTCGCATGATCGTGACGTCCTTGTCCGTGACGGCGTATTCGTAGGGGTCGTGTCGGTCGAGTGGCCATCCGTGTTCGGGTCCTGCAGCGTTTCGGGTCGAGAGGGGAGAGGGCATTGCAATAAGGTGTTGGTGCCAAATCGGGCAGCCCATGATCGTGTATTGCCTACCACATGGCTAGGCCAGCGCCTTATCTTGGGAGGCGCTTCCGTGTGTCCTTCCCGATGTGCGTGATTTCCTCCTCGTGCTCTTTTTCCCTCTCCATCTTACCCCTTCCCTCTCTTTCTCACTCTCTCTCTTCACTCTCTCTCTCTCTCTCTTCTCTCTCTCTCTCTCTCTTTCTCTCTCTCTCTCCTCTCTCTCTCTCTCTCTCTCTCTCTCTCTCTCTCTCTCTCTCTCTCTCTCTCTCCCCCCTCTTCTCTCTCTCTTTCTCTCTCTCTCTCTCTCTCCTCTCTCTCTCTCTCTCTCTCTCTCTTTCTTTCTCTCTCTCTCCCTCTTTGTGTTTCTCTCTCTCTCTCTCTCTCTCTCTCTCTCTCTCTCTCTCTCTCTCTCTCTCTCTCTCCTCTCCTCTTCTCTCTCTCTCTCTCTCTCTCTCTCTCTCTCTCTCTCTCTCTCTCTCTCTCTCTCTCGCTCCCTCTCTCTCTCCTTCTCCATTCTTTCGCGGCTCCTTATTTCTTGCCATCATGATTTTGTGCCATGTCCTTGGTGGGCTTGATCGTGGCTGCCCGTTTTCTTGGGTGGCATACGTGGCATGTTTGTGGGTCCCCGCTACTACGCTCTTTCGTACTCTCCCTCCTTTTTTTTTTTCTTTTTTTTTTCAACTAGAAATCAACTTGCCGTGGCGACACACAAACACAATTACATTGCTCTACCATGGTCCTAGGCACACGGCCTACGCATCCCCTAGGGCAGTCCTAGCCCGCTGGGTTTCCTTGCCTTGCTCGAAGGCTGGCCACCGGCCACGCACCCTCCGGTGCGGCCCCATATGCCACTTGCATATGGGCAAAGGGCGCCGCCCTTGAAGAAGAAGAAAAAAAAAAAACGCTCATACGACCGGTGAGGGGCCTTGCGCGCCACGCCCGCCCATGGGGCATGCGTTTGCCATGTGGCCCAGCTGGCCACAGCGGAAGCATACGCCCTTGAAACGCGGCTGCGAGCATGTGAGGGGGGGGAGCCCTTGATGTCCATTTCCCCGTCACGACCGCGGGGGGGACGCCGCGGGTGTAGCCGGTGCGCACACGCTTGAGTGCCGCGACATCAGCGACCGCGAGCTTGAAGGAGCATGAGGTCAAGACACTCTTGGACTGGTAGAGCTGAAAGCAGTCGGCCGCTTCGAAGCCGGCTTCGTCCGCCACTTGAAGCACCTCGAAACGCTTGTCGATAAGCATCTCGATGTGCTTGACGTTGTTGAGCGCGCCGATGATGTCGTCGTGCTGCAGCTTGTAATCGATGTGCTTGAGGTGTGCTTGGATGGCAGTGAATACCTCTGCCTGATCACGTACGCCCTTGCGCATGAAGGTGGTTGGGGTGGGCGTAGGGCGAGGGGGGGAAGAGGTGGTGCGGAATCAATAATGCGGTGGTGAGCAATGTTTATCGGAGCCTCACCATCTTCATTGTCAGAGTCGTCGCTGTCTTCGATGTCGATGGCGGGCGTCGGGAGCGTCTCTGGGTGCTGGTCGTCGATGCGCGGGGCCTTTGGGGCGCGAGGAGGCATTGCCATTTCTTTCTTCTTGGCCAAGTTACAGTGGCGGAAACAATTGTCCACATGTTTAGCATATTTTTACATTTTGACGAGCTGTACGCTATAAACATTAAGCCTTAATTCATGGTGGCCATACACGTAGAGAGGAGCAGTTAGAGCACTCACTCAAATCTCCTAAAACCAGAGTAGTATATTTCATGGTCCTTCAAGATGACAACATTTAATAACAGCACATCCGGACAATTTGTACCGGGGACAGGCAGCAAACTAGTTACTAGCAAAACTAGTACCTAGTCAACCGACACTTGGCCTTGATCACCACCTACACCCTCCTAGGCATGTTATCTATGAGTTTAGTGCAAACCTTTACAGGGATCTTCTCGCACTCTTCCTGGACCCACGCTTTTGCATAAGGGGGTAAGCACTAGGAAAATCGCGAAGTATTTGAACGTATGCAAGAGTACTGTGCACGATTTCATGTTGAATGTTATCTCTAAGACTAGCCATGCTGAGGTGTCGCCAAAGATGCCATTAGTCGATTGGTCTCGTCTTATCATGGATCGTCTTCATCGCAACGTTGTAGGTAAAAATTACGAGCAGAGTGGCGAAAAATTGCGTATCTGCCACGAAACTTAGGGTAACATAGCACGGTTGACAGTGCATCCTTGCACCATTAGAATCATGCTAGGATCCGTATGTCTCTGAGCGGTGCAGCAGTCGAAGTAGTCGTGACTCGTGGGGAAAAATATCCGGGTTGAGATCTGGTGAGGAAGAGGGTCACTCCAGTGTTATAAACTCATGCTCTGCAAGCCATTCCAAGCCTAGGCAGGACAAATGGCTTAGAATGGCTTAGCGAACACGAGTATGTTACGCTGGAGTGACCCTTTTCCTCATCAGATCTCAACCCGGAGATTTTTCCCACCAGTTACGACTACTTCGACTGCTGCACCGCTCAGAGACATACGGATCCTAGCATGATTCTAATGGTGCAAGGATGCACTGTCAACCGTGCTATGTTACCCTAAGTTTCGTGGCAGATACGCATTTTTTCGCCACTCTGCTCGTAATTTTACCTACAACGGTGCGATGAAGACGATCCATGATAAGACGAGACCAATCGACTAATGGCATCTTTGGCAACACCTCAGCATGGCTAGTCTTAGAGATAACATTCAACATGAAATCGTGCACAGTAATCTTGCATACGTTCAAATACTTCGCGATTTTCCTAGTGCTTACCCCCTTATGCAAAAGCGTGGGTCCAGGAAGAGTGCGAGAAGATCGCTGTAAAGGTTTGCACTCACCTCGTAGATAACATGCCTAGGAGGGTGTAGGTGGTGATCAA